CACACACACACAGCAGAACTAGTTTCATATGTATTGTTCTTTTGATAAGGACATATACTTTCTTCTGACTTAGTTTAGTCTGTAGCTTAGTCACTGGTTACTGAAGTTTATGAAGATAACTTATTCTGTGTTCATCATCCCTTTTATTTAACCAGAGAAAAACTCACTGAGTTCAAGATCTTTTTTCAACACCTTGCCAAGAGGTGAGGAACACACACCATAAAAGAATCAAAACAAATAACAATATAAGATAAAACATAAATGTTTTACCCACAAAAACAATATCATATACACAGCATAATAATTAACAGGGATTTACAACTGAAACAATGGTGAAGAAAACACAGGCAGTTAAAAACAGCAATGAGGTGTTTCACCACCAAGTAGAATTCTCAACATAGCCTGCTCTATTACAACAGAAAATTATACGGTGCAAAGTATATTTTATAATAACAGTAAATTATGATGTAGTCAGGATAAACCTGTGGTGCTCAGTGTGTAAAAAACAACCTGAGTAATGTATTTTCCAAGTACACTCAGATAAAGTTCAACCTAAATGAAAAGGTTTGTGTGTATGCTGACTCAAGAGACGTTAAGTAGATTAGTTTGTGTGTATGCTGACTCAGCAGTCATTAAGTAGATTAGTTTGTGTGTATGCTGACTCAGCAGTCATTAAGTAGATTAGTTTTTGTGAATGCTGACTCAAGAGTCATTAAGGGATTAGTTTGAGTGAATGCTGACTCAGCAGTGATCAGGTAAATTAGTTTGTCTGAATGCTGACTCAGCAGTTAATAAACAGATGTACCTGTGAATTGCTTCCCACAACATCAGAGCGTGCTCTCTGTAGAAATATTTTGGGAGCTGAGAGACTCCTCTGTCACTGAAGTCATAGTGGGGCTGAAGGGAGCGGTATGTCAGAACCTTGTACTCTCTTTGGGCCAGGATCAGCAGCCCGTCCCCACCGGTAGAGACAACCTGCAGAAACAACAGGATATTCAGCYGGTGGGAATCACATTCCTACCGTTCTTTCCTGCAGACGTACTCGTTTAAAGATGCCGTTGGCAGAGATCAGCTGAGTGCGCCCCCTGCAGTTTATCTCCAGGGTGTAGCGCAAATGAGGGGCCAGGAGCTGCAGGAAAAGGGGTCAGAGGTCAAACTACCATCAACCCACAGCAGCATTAACTCTCACATTAAACAAGAAAGGAAGGTCTTAAAGTGCCTGTGACGTCATTTTTTTATGATAAATGTGAATATATTTTTAGAAAGATAACATTGTTAATATATTGTAAAAAATATTTCATGCTGCTGAGATGAATAGTTGTTGAGATATTTGCCTGTGAAGTAACAGGAAGTGATGTCAAAGGGGAATGTCTGCATGTAAACAGAGCATTGCTACAACAGCTAATACAGACTGTAGAGAAGAATCTGATGTTTCTTTAGTCCACTATCATAGAGAGAAGAGAAAGAGTCGTAGTTCAAATAAGATTGTTTCAACAAACAAAAACCAGTGAGTTTTCTTTCTCAAAGAGTTCCCCTTTGATGTCACTTCCTGTTTCACTTTAGCCGAGCAAAATTCAAAAGAAAATATGCCAATTATGTGACATAACGAGTTGAATCATGTGTATTATGCCAAGTTTCCTAAATATAAATATATTTTCTTTGACTTTTTGTATTTCATGGATATGCATGTCACAGGCACTTTAAATCACTTTAAAATCCATTCTAACACACATGAATGTTAACAGTTTGTAAGACATACAGTATTGTGTAAAATGTTGAATCATCCCTCATCGTCACCTGCCAGTGAAAGATGAAGGTAGGTGTGTTCACGTGTTTGTTTTTAAAATTATATTCACTTATAGAAAGAGGCTTTTAGTGACTCTACTGCTTTTGTCCTGCATTTGTTGTACAGTGGTACCTTGACTTAAGAGTGTCCTAACTAACGAGTTTTTTGAGATACAAGCAGTCTCTCAGATATATTTTTGCTTTGAGTTGAGAGCTAAAGTTTGGGTTACGAGCGAACATCACACACCCCACCGCTAGAAGGCGCCACAAACGCAGGAGTGAACGCCGCAATAGGCGTTCACCGCCTCAGTTAGCTTTAAGCAGTTAGCTTGCAGTTAAAGCCTTTGTGTTCCACTCGCACTTATTTTTATAAAACTTCACGAACCAGCTTTTGCCAACTATGGGACCAAAAAAAGGTGAGATCAAAGGATGGCACTGGGAAAAAGAAGCGGATGATGTGCATTGAACTGAAGAAAGAAATTATTGAAAAACACAAAAAAGGTGTGCGTGTAGTAGACCCAGCAAAGCAGTCCGAGCACAGCACTTCCACAGTCTGCACCATATTGAAGCTGTACCTTTTACAGTGTACTTATTTAATAAAACTACTGTAGTTCATTGCAGAAAATACATTCTGCTTTGTATTTATTCAATTTTTGTTATTCATAATGATTTTACTAATATAAAAACATGTAACAGAAAATAGCAGTGATTTTTGGGGGTCCGGAACAGATTAAGGGCATTTCAATTTATTTCTATGGGGAACACTGATTTGACATACAAGTAATTTGAGTTAAGAGCTCCATCTCAGAACGAATTAAACTTCTTACTCAAGGGACCACTGTATTTCTTAATTTTTAATACACAGATTGCACAATACACTGTCACAGTCAGAAGGACTGTAGAACAAGACGTTTGTGCATAACTCCTGACATTTACCTTATAAACAGGGTGCACAGCAGGCAGTTGTCTCAGAGTCGCCACACAGTACACCTCCACCACCAGGTGAGTCCGGAGCAGGTGGGACAGGAGCTGGAAGATCTGGAACTCTGAGTGACGCACCCACATCTTGGCCAAGAGCCAAGCCAGAGGTGGGTCACTGGGCAGGAATATGGGTGTGCTTATTCCAGGAGTGGGCGCAAGCTGAGGACAAATTATCATATCAGTACAGATTCTCTTTAGTAAACAGAATGAGGACATCCAACATCCAGGACCAGACCCTGGTTTGATCCAAGAGTCAGGCCTTATGTGGGTGTGTAGGTGTGTGT